GCCGGGCGCGGCGAGCCCCGCGGGCGAGGGCGGCGAGGCGCTGCGCGAGCTGCTCGAGGCCTGCCGCAACGGCGACGTGTCGCGCGTCAAGCGCCTCGTGGACGCCGCCAACGTCAACGCCAAGGACATGGCCGGGCGCAAGTCCACGCCGCTGCACTTCGCCGCCGGTGCGTGCCCCGCCGCCTGCGGCGGCTGCCGGGAACCGGGAACGCGGGCTGCCGCGCTGCCCTTCCCRGGCGCTCTCCGACGGGAAAGCGGGCGCGGGGCTGCTGAATGGGCTGTCAGGTTGGCTCTTGTGGAGGTAGGCAAAGCCGGGGTGTTTGTCCGCGTAGCCACAGCGCGGCGTCTAGGGCAGAGCTGCCCCTTTCGGCCCGAGGCTTTTCCRGCTGCTCGGCCTGGAGATGTTCCCTCTCTTCCTTGGGGGAAACTTCGGCTCGGTGCCGCTCGTGCCGGGCCCTGGGTGCCTCATGTGCCGCTGCATTCCCAGCCCTCCGTGCTCATCCCTCCTCYCGGAATCTGTGTGCGGAACGTGCCAGGGATGAGGGTTCCCGTGGGCAGCGAGCAGTGCTGGGCCGAGGAGCAGGGGAACAAACGGGAGCTCTGCCCACGGAGAGCAGGGATTGGGAGCCGGGAGCGGATCCTCCCGCTCCGAGGGGTTCCCAGTGCTCCGAGCCCTGCGGTTTTCCCGGGATATACCCGTGGCCATCGGCTCTCAGCTCGACCCTATCCTTGTGAATCATGCCTTATCCCTGAGCCAGCTGGAACCCATGTGGAAAACCGCTCCRCGTCGAGGCCACTCGTGGGGCAAGCGCGTCCCCCGAGCCCGCCGTGGGCGCCCGCGATTCCAACCCCTCCATGTTTTTAACACCCGTGAATCCCCCCGCAGGTTTCGGCCGCAAGGACGTGGTGGAGCACCTGCTGCAGACGGGCGCCAACGTGCACGCGCGCGACGACGGCGGCCTCATCCCGCTGCACAACGCGTGCTCCTTCGGGCACGCCGAGGTCGTGAGCCTGCTGCTGTGCCAGGGCGCCGACCCCAACGCCCGCGACAACTGGAACTACACGCCGCTGCACGAGGCCGCCATYAAGGGCAAGATAGACGTGTGCATCGGTGAGTGCCCGCCGCGCAGCGCCCCACGGAGCCCCACGGAGAGCCTGCAGCCCCAGTCCTGCTGCGGCAGGGCGCCCGGAGCGCCCGCCGCCCGTCCCGGGCAGCTCCGGGCAGCCTGGTTAGGGAACCCGCTTGTTGGCCATCGTTACACGAGCTCAGCTCAAGCTGAAATTAGTAATAATAAGTAAAACCGACCCCTTCAGTCGTGCCTGGAGCTTGCCAAGTGCAGCGCTTGTCAGCCTGCCCCGTGGGTTTTTCTCACACGAGCGTACCCGCATGAGGAGACRCAGCCTGTCCAATCAGTGTGCTTATTACTGCTCTTTTCCCCCTGAATTGAGACTTTTTGTATTACTCTTGGGTYAATTTGAGCCTGTTGAGCAATTCTAGTACAGTTGATCCCCACTGACTTGGATAAGACTGTTCAGAATTCCTTCTCAGGCGTGGAGGAAAACCCACAGTTGAGATTATGAACAGGGTATTTATGTTGGATATCACTTAGGTATCACAACTTTTAGCTTTCCAGGTAGTATCTCTCTGCTTAAGGACTCCCACCATGAAGTTCCCRTGGAGAGAGATGCACAACGTGTTGTTGGCCCCGTTGTCGCTTTGCTGCAATATTTACATCAAACCTAGGGAGAGGAGGCCGGAGAAAATCCGGTGGGATTTCTGCCYTTCTGCCTCTCTCCCTGTCCTGTCTAGCCGAGCAGCTCCGTGCTGGCACMTTTGCAACTAAACCCAAAGGGGACCAACAACCGAACGGGCGCTTCCCTTCACACCTGGTGCTCCGTGACGCCTCCCGTGAGCTGCTCAGGGCCTGCAAGGGAAACCCCCACAGCTGCTGCCTGTTTGCCCTCCATGAATTCTCTGGGATGCTCCAAGGCTTTGTCCCTCCTCTGCTGAGCTCCTCCAGGCAGAAGAATTCCCTGCCTGTGTCGTTCCCTGGGATTGCGGCCCCTCTTCCTTTATTTTTATTTCAAAGCTAGCACGTTTTCCAGCATACGCAGGTCCTGGCAGGACGGGTGGGGCGTCCTCCCAGGTGAGTAAAGCCAAGCAGAGGTATTTTGTGCCCAGGGAGCCGCAGGAAAGGTGCTGTGGGGCGTTGGGGTTGCGCAGCGGCCGGGTCTCGGTGGCGAGAGGGAGGAAAAGGCCGTCGTGTCTCGGCCTGAAGGCGGCCGCAGCCGCTAGTGCCCACCTAGGGCTGCCCAGGCTGCCGTGCCCGGGTTTCCAGCTTGCGGGAGGGCGAGGGACGGCCGGCGGCGCCAGCTCCTCTCTCCGCTCCCCCCGCAGTGCTGCTGCAGCACGGAGCCGACCCCGGCATCCGCAACACGGACGGCAAGTCCGCGCTGGACCTGGCCGACCCCTCGGCGAAGGCCGTGCTCACAGGTAAGGCCCCGCTCCCGGCATTCCCGGGCCGTCCTGCCCGGCCGCGGCCTTCCCGGCGCCTCCCTCGCTACCCGCGGCATCCCTGGGACCATCGTTCGGCTCGGCACCGCTCCAGCCTCCCCCGCTACCGGGGACTGGACTGGGCGACCTCCGGAGGGTCGATCCMTAAGGATTCTGTGGTTCGGTTGTGCCTCTGAGTCGCAGACCTGCGCGTGGATCAAACTGGCCACAATCCCTGGGGAAAAGGGAAGAACAGCTCTGMGAACAACTATCCCAAAACTCCCGCGTTAGGGATTTTTACCCCACCGATCTCGACCATGGGCAGCAGGTCGCCTTTCAGACCCCTAAGGAGGATTTATTCCTACAGACTCCCATGCTGCCTTTCCTCCTTCCTTCCATTTTTCACTTTGGGTGGCCCTYGGCACCATGCAGCATTTTCCCCCTTTTTGGAGGCTGTTAGCTCCCCATTTTTTTTTCCCCGTGAAAACCTTAATTCTGCGGCTATAACTCCGGTTTTATGCAGCTGCGTTTGTGGAAATGAAGTGTCGTAGCGTGCTGGTAAAACCTAAACGTGGGATTTATGAATCCCACTGGATTTATATTTTTGTATTTATAGTCAAGTCCTTATTGGGAACTGCACAGCCCTTGGTGGTGCCTGGGATCGCTGGGAAAGGCTGCTTAAGGCACGGGAAGATGGGGCTGGAAGTGCCCACGCGGGTGCGGAAGGGGATTCGGCAGCTGAGCTTCGTTCCAGGAAATGGCTCTTTTCCTGCTGCCTATTTCTCCCGCTCTCTCCATGGTGTTTTTAAGGGATTTATCCAGCCTTGGGGAATCCCTTCTAGCTGGTTTCGCCATGTTCTCCAAAAAGAGAGTTTTCCAAACATTTTTCCCAAACTTTTTTTTTTTTTTTTTATTCTCCTTTCCTTTAAGGCTATAAATGTCTGAAAGGATCTTTCTTTTGGGGCTTATTTTTGGGGCTTTGATTTCTTTGGGGGAAAAACAAAAACCAAAGTGATTTGCTAGTTCTCAAGCCCTTGGGGCTTCCGTAGTGGGGAATTTATGGCTGGGACTGCTCCGGTCTCGCAGGAAAWGGATTTTTGCCAGTGTGGTAGGACGGCGAGTGCTGTGGGCCCCATAGGAGGGCTCCCACGTGGCTCCTGCTGCACTTGGGGGTCCCGGGCGCCTCATGTCTCGGGCTCTCCCGAGCCTGTGTTTGCTCCATCTCTCCCTTTCCCCCGGCATAAAGAAGCAGCCTTGGTGCCTGTCTGCACTGCAAGCTAATAGGAGTTACGCGGCTTGGTTAAAAATAGATTTTTGGCTAAAAAAAGCTCCAACGAGCGGGGCTCTATTTGTGTCCTCCCGGGAGGCTGGAGGAGGGAGGGCTTGTGTGGCGCTCTGCCTGATGTCTTGGTTTACCATGGGAAGACAAGAGCCCTGCGGGAGCCGGGACGGCGGCAAACGGGCCGGCTTTGGGACCAAGCCGCGTTCCAGAAACATCCCTTAAAGATCCCAAGGAAGTAGCAGGGCGTTGCGGGCCGTTTTGTGCCCTGGGGAGCGCAGGTTTGAGCCGTCGGCAGCTGCGGCTGGAGCCCTCGCAGCGCCGGATCGATGCGGACGATGAGGACCAGGATCAGAATCGGGTTTTCCTGGTACCTGCACTGTTACCTGCACTGGTGCTTAATAATAAGCTGCAACGGAGCCAATTGCCTTGTGTTCCTGCCCTGGGGCAGCTGCTGCAGCGACGTAGTTGGAATTGCACATGTGCAAATGTCTTAAAAGGCTSTAAGGTAAAGATTTATTTATTGATTTATCTATTGTTTATTTCCCCCTTTCCACGGCAGCTATTTCTGCTGGTTTTCTGGCCCCCTTCCCTGCTCGTGGGGGTGCCTCGGGTTGTGCTTTGGAGCTCCCCCTCACAAAGCAGGTAATTCCCGCTGGCCTTTGGCTTGCTGCGCTGCCTTGTGCAGGTGTTAACAGCATGGAGATCCAGCGTGCTCTGGTGCTGCTGAGATGCCCTTAGAATTCCCAGGTTTTGGACCCTGCATCCAATCAGCAGTACACATCCACGCCGCTTCAACTCCAGCGGTTAAACTGTCGCTTAACTCCTGTTTTAAGCTAGAGATGGGCGCCTGGTTACCTAGATGAGCTCTGCCAGGGAGAGCCGTGTCGCTCGCTCCCCGCCGTGCCGCGCTTCCTGTGGTGCCACCGCGACGGAGCCGCCCGGAGAGTCCTGCGAGCGCCGGCTCAAAGCTGCCTTCGGAAGGCCGGATCCGCCCTGGGGCCGGTGATTCCCACCGTGACCACGGGTGTCCGGATGGAGGGAGCGCCAGCATCTCCCTCCTCCAGCTGAGGCTGCCTGCGYGCTCGCTGCTCCTCAGTGTTAAATGCTGCAGGGTTAGGCTCTCCTCGTGGGGGTGATAAGCTTAGGCCTGCGCTGCTCCCGGCCCCGGGGGGATAAAAGCGTCTCCGTGGCTGGAGGAGCAGCCCTGGAATCGGAGCAGGTGGCTTTGGAAGGCCCCCGGCTTCGCTTGGTGCTCGCACGGCTCCAGGCCGCTCTAAGCGGGAACATCCTGAGGGTTAGGAGCAGTCTTAGGCTAGTCAGGAACACCCTGTGGCCGGAGGAGGTGTCAGCAGAGGCAAGGAGCGAGCGCGCCGCGTGTCACGGTGGAGGGAAACGTGGTGACTTCCATTTCCTGGCACCTCTCCTGCCGCTGTGAGCACCAGGAGGTTTTCCAGAGGTTTTCCTCTGGTTTTCCAGAGGCTTCAGAGCAAAGCTGGTGCTTTAGCTGATGATTTTGGGCACCAGGGCTGGAACAAGCYGTAGAATTTCCTGGATTCTCTGCCGCTTCCCTCGTCCACCACGAGGGAGATACATAGGAAGCCTGTGTGTTGCTGTGGCCTTTCCAGCTCCCGCTCCTTTAGGCTCCCTTGGAGCCATCAGCGCCCGCGGCTTGAATCTAAACGCGCCCATGGGTCTGTGGAGACGACCTTGTTTCTGTCGAGCGCAGCAGTGATTCAGTCCTGCCGTTTTTGCTCCGTGCATCCAAGCCGGGTGTCAGAGGGGCTGCTGACCCACCTGAGGTTAAAGCTGCAACCTGGCCRCGGCACATGTGGGCACTCGCACAGCCCGAGCCCCACGGACACGGGGGTGACGGGCCGGCCTGCCCCATGGCTCTGGGGCAGACCCACGGGAACGCGTCCTCCCCGGGGGTTCCCGCTTCCCTGCTCCGCCCCTTGGCGCTCCCGCAGGAGCGAACCTTGCTGGGACACGAGTTGTACCCAGCAGCGCAGGTGAGGTTTATAGCGCGGCGGATAAGGCCTTGGTATGTTCTACCCCCTAAAATTATCCTGGTGCTTTGCACGGATTCCTCCCCTTTGAGGCTCTCGGGCATCCTCTGAGTGASGAGCGTGGCTCTGTGTCTCCCCTCCCTGCTCTGCAGTTACCGGTGGCTGAGCCCGGCTTTGGAGGAAAGAGCTGTGATTAACCCTGTTGGTTTAATGCTGTTAAACCTCATCGTGGCTCGTGTGCGGGTCGCGCAGGGCGTCCTGTAGCTTTCACCTTCCTTCTCCTGCCCTCGCCGCGGCCTCGTGCTCCCGTCCGCCCCGAAACGGAGGCTTTCCCCCGGGGGACCGTGCCTGGGGCTCGGCCCTGCTGCCCGTGGAGGCTGGGAGGCCGTGGGAAGTGGCGCTGCCCCGCGCCGAAGGGAGCGACCCACGGAAATCCATGTACGGGATCCCCTCGCTAAGGGGCTTCTCCTCAATCCAAGCTGGGCTTCCCTGTGGAAGTGAAATGCCTTGGGCCCAGCGTTTCCCTGCACTGGAGCGGAGAGGAGGAAGCTGGGCCCCAGGTGAGGCCGAGCAGCGATGGCTCCAGCCCTTCCTCCTGCCCCTCATCTTCCTCGCAGCCTGGTGGCACCACTTCCCCAACCAGTGCACGGATACACAGGGGATTTTGCCTTATTTTACCACCAGCTCCATGAGCCTTAAACCCCCATCTCCAATCTCGGGGTGCAGTTTGTCCCCTGCAGGAACCCAACCCTGCTGACTGCACAGCCATCCCTGCGGCTCTTGGGAGCATCCTTGCTCCCTGGCTTTCCTGGGATTCCTAACGCGAGCGGCTGCTTCGGGAGGCTGCGGGAAGCAGCACACGGCTTGGGGAGCGGGGCTGGATTGCCGCCGCCGCCGCCTGCCCTTTGTCCGGGCTCCGTGCGGGATACAGCGGTGCAGGGAGGGGGCGCGGGGGGAGCCCGTTCCCGCGGGAGCGGCCCCATTGGAGCGGGAGCCGCTCGGGCGCGCGCATCTCCAAGGCGCTGCGAGGCGGCCGCCTCACGTCACCGTCACCGCCCGGGCGCCGCTTCCCATTCCCCCTCCCTCCTCCTCCGCTTTTTTTCTCCTCCTCCTCCTCCTCGTTTTCCTAATCCCGAATCCGCGTCCTGCTGCGTCTCTCCGGCTGTCTCCTGCCGGATGCTAACAGCATGATATTTTGCAACCATTTAGGTGAATACAAGAAGGACGAACTCCTGGAAGCGGCGAGGTGGGTGCCGCGACGCGAAGCCCCTTCCCRAGGGAGGGCTGCGGATAAAGGGGGAAACGGGAGATTTTTTCCTTGTTTTCCCCCCCAAATCCCTAGCGTTATGGCAAGGCCGAAYGCGCCGGTGCTGTTTATGTAACTGAAATGCCGGGATGCCCCCCGCCGGCGAGGCGATGGGGTTAATGTCAGTTGAGGCTTTCTCCGCCTTAAGCTCCTGAAATCCTATTTATGGGTTTGCGGCTGCTCGTTTCAGGGGAAAATTGAATACTGGCAATTTTTTTTTTTTTCCCTTGCTACCTTAAAGCTGATTCTCCAAATACTCCCTATGGGAGCAGAGCAAAAGGAAGCCCGTATTGCAGGGATGCTTCCGTCCTCTCGCCGGCAGCCCCCAACCAAAATGGTTGTCTCGAGGCTGTTTGGCTCCTGAGAACCCACCGCAGCGCTTCCCTGTGGCCCTGTGCGCTGGAGGAGCCGCAGGCTGCGAGGAATCCCCGCTCCCTAGCACGGGAATCGGAAAATGGCTTTCGGCAGCTCCGCGGAGCGGCCGGGGGAGGAGAAGGCACCGCGCGGGATTGCGCGTCGCCTGCCGCAGCTGCAGCCTCGACACCCTGCCTCGCGTCTGCCCTCYGCTCGCAAGCGCTCCGGCGCTTCCGCGTCCGCCTGGGCTGCGTGTGAACATCCGTGTGGGATAGCTATCCAGCCCCCAATGCCCTTTATATAAATATCAGTGTGTTAGCTGTCTAGCTTCTAGCTCCTGAATGCGTTTTATATAAATATCARTGTCTGATCGCTTGCTGTCTGGCTCCGTGGCACTCATTTATTTATTTATGCAAAGAGCCACGGCTTTTTCTGCCTTTTTTTTTYTCCTTTTTTCCTCCCCTTTTCCCTAATGCCCTCTGCATTTGCAGGAGCGGTAATGAAGAAAAACTGATGGCTCTGTTGACTCCCCTAAATGTGAACTGCCACGCGAGCGACGGGCGCAAGGTAGGTGGCTGCCCCCCACTTTCCTCTTGCTGCTCCTCAGGAAGGATGGAGTTTAGCCCCCTCGGGAAGCCCCGATGCATGAGCCGCCCTGCGGGGTGTGGGGGAAGCCTCTGGAATGCCGTGTGGGAATGAAATGCCGTTTTCCCTGATCCTGGCGGGTGCRACAGCTTGGGAGTGGGGAGCTGCTTCTAAATGTCAGGGCCCGGCACACACCCAAAGCGAAACCCCGGGGGCTTTGATGGGAAGCGCAAAATAGGCTCCTGCGGGTGGGGAAAATCGTGGAAAAAAGGGTTTTTTTCCTCCCYGTRYGTGARCAGTGTCTGGGTGAGGGCGCTGGTACCATCCTTAGCTCCTGCTGCGCTCGCTGCATTTCCACCGGCTGATTTATTGATGTGATTCTGCGTTTTCCTGGCCTCGACCTTCTTGTCGCATTCAACTTCGTGTGCAGGGGGAGCGTTGGAAGGGGGGAGCTCGGGAATTGGGCTGGGATCGGAGGAAGCGACGCCGTGGGGAGCAGATCTTGTGATTTACGGCGCTTTCGCTGCCTCRCAAGCGCTGCTCTGGGCAGACTGCTGCCGTGGCAAACTTGGGTGCCCGTATCCGTGTATTTATTGGTGTTATATATATGCGCACGCACACCTTGTGCCAGAATGTTCTCAGCCTGCATCCCCGGCAAGGCTCGCTCGCATGGAAAGCTGCAGCTCCCTCTCCAGCCCTGGGGCTGCAGCAGGAAAAGCCCGGCCGCTTTTCCTTGCATTTTTCCCCCTTTATCTCCCATGCAGATGATGTGATGGGCAGCCCGTTCTGCAGCTGCCCTGCAGGGAGGGTCGCCTGTTGGAACACAGCTCCCTTGTGAAAATACCCGTTTTTGGGCACAATTTCCAAACGGTGTTTTAAAAGGCACCTGTAGCTCCCGGGTTTCCCTCTCCGGTGTTCAAGGAGCTCGCGGTCAGACGCTGCTGTGTGTTACTGCAGGGAAGCRCCGTGCTGCAGAGCAGCCCCTTCCCACTGAGCAGGGCTCCATTCCTGACAATCCAAGGCCAAAGGCCGAGCTGGGATCGCTATTCCTAGGGAGAGGAATGAGCCCTTGCGGATGCGCCACCATCTCGCGTATTCATCACTTGAAAGTGGAAAAAAATGTAATTTAAAAATCCTCGCTAATCTAGCGGAGGTTGTTTGTATGTGACTGCAGCCTCAGGTGGGTTTGACTAATCCATGTGTGGAGCTCAGAGAGCGTTCTGCCTTTGGAATTAACCCCTTTGGGCACCCTGGTGATTGGTCTCTGTGTTTGGCTGTTGGTGGCATGCTAGGTGTTAAAACACACTAGGAATTAAGGTGCCTTGCCACTGATTTGAACAAAAAGCTCGCGGAATGGCTTGGACCTGGAGCGATGGCAGCCTGGGATTTGCAGGCTGGGTTGCTCCTCCTCGGCGGGGTCAGGTCTAGGTGAGTTTCCCAGGATTTGCTTTTGAGTATTTTAAAGCAGCAGGGCCCTTCCTGCCTGTTACTGCAACCTGGAGCTCTGTTAACGTGCCCCGGGAGCTGCGTGTCCGACCTGTTGGAATAATCCCAGCTTCCATGAACTCCAATGGGCAGGCAGAAGGGCGCTATTCCGATGCAGCGTGGCCGGGGCAGCTGCACCCTCTCTTGGCTCGCTCCTTTCCCTCGGGAAGCGGCTCCTATGGACATGTGGAAGGTGCCCTCATGCCCTTCCCAGGTGCTAGTCCTTGCAGCTTCCCAAACCGATCTCCTTGGGGCTTGCTCTTCCGCCTCCATTTCCCATCTACAGGTAGGTGAGTAGTCCGATGCCTCAGATCCTCCTATAGCCTGAGGTTGGGTGGGATTGCCGCTCCTCCTCCTCCTCCTCTCCCYCTTYTCCCTCGTGATGTTACGTGTGGCCATCCCAATGAGCAGCCACCGAGTCCCAGCGGCGCTGGACAAGTTGTGTCCCCCCTGCCCAGGGAGAGGCTCCCGTTTGCTGCAGGACGGCGGGTGTGCAGCCTCTGCCTCGGCACTTTGCCCGTTCCCAGCCGTCTCCCTGAGAAATCCCGCAGCCGGGAAGCAGGGTGGCTCGCTTCCCGACTCCCGCACCCGTGCGGAGCCATCGATCCGTGTTCTCCCARGCTTTCCCTCTGCTGCCGTCAGCCCCGGACACCTCGGCAGAGGTGGACGTTGTGTTGCACTCGGCCTGTCCCTGGCAGGAGGAGGTTGGAGGAGAACGCCGCGTGTCGCCCACATCTCTTGAGAAAGCTCTTCCACCGGCTGGAGACAATGAGCATTTTATCTTCCTGAAGGTTTTCCGCCCTTGCACGTGGCCCGTGGTGGTGCTTGGAGCACCAGAAGCCCCCAGTTTGTGGCTTGTCCGCAGTGGGATGCGATGGAGGAGCAAGGAGCCGTCCGCGAAACCGGCTTCACGCTGGGCTCCGTGTGTGCGGATCCTCGGGCTTCCCTTCAACSATCTGACCACAACCAAGGGTTTGACTGGAAGGAAAGGCAGTTGGATTCAGAGGGATGCTGCTGCCTGCTGTTAGCTAACAAGATGCTGCCCCCACTTGCTCTCCTTCAAGCTCTCTTGTCTCTGTTGACACCGATGTCCATCCGCAGCCCGGGTGCACTTACCTCTTTCTCACTCGCTTCAATTCCAGCCTTTGCCAAGCCCCGTCTTGCTCCCAAGAAGGAGCAATTCCAGGAGGATTTATTGCTCCATCCAATTCCTTGCACTCATCACTGCTCAAACTTTGTTTTGCCTGCCTTATTATTATTACTATTATTATTATTATTATTACCTTTTCTGACAGAGCTTCCGATGCTCTTTTTGAGGGATGCCATCCTTCAAGAGCCATACTGGCTGCTCTTCTCACCTCATCCAGCCCTTCCATACGCGGGTTGCTAATATAGCTCCATACATGAGCTGCTAATGTAACTGAAGGCAGTGCTCGCTGAGAGTTTGGGGATCAGCATGGTTGTGGAAGACCGGAGCTGAGCAGGCAGCAGGTGCTCCGTGAAAGGCCAGGACGCGACGTGGTGGCTCGCGACGACCAGCGGTGGCCTCGACGAGGGAGCAAACCGAGGTTCCTTGGGGCACCTTTTCTGTGCACAGACTCAGTGACACGTTTGTGCTGGTCACACAGGCCCATTTCTTGCAGTTTTGAAGAATGTAGCTGAAATATTGAGGAGCGTTCGCATTTAATAACCGTAATTGTTGAGTTTTGCAGCACAGTAAGGCAGAGCGCGAGTCCCTTTTCTGCCGTCTCTTGGCCCTCTTTGGCAAGGCGGATTTCTTTGAATTAGTGCTGCAGAGGAGCAGTGAAATCCACTTGCCTGGATTATAAAGGCGTTAARCCCCAAGCCCTGCGAGTTATCACCGCGACGCGCAAGGAGCGCCTGGTAAATCTARTTTTGTGAATTATTTTAGGGGCTTTTCATGTATATATTAATCTGATTCCGAAACGTCAAGTATAAATATGTTTTTATTTCACCACGAGCGCCGGAGCTGGGAGGCGGCCGATCTCCACACATCGCCCTTAGCCGAGCTCTTCCTTGCCTAGCGTTTAATGGGAGCCTGGAAAGCTCTCAGGGGAGCAGAGGGAATAGCCCAGTGAGTATATTCCAGAAGGAAAAAATTCCTGCCTTCTTCACGATGCCCGTGACACTGAAAGCCTGAGGTGTTGCTGCCGGGAAGGGGAAGAGGGAAGAGGCAGGGAAGAGCTTTGCTGCCTCTTGTGCCTCTTTCCTTGCAGCCCCGGAGCCTCTCAAGCAGGGAACGATGCTCCTTGAGATCAGGTTTTGCTCCCCTATCCGTGAAGCAGCCTTCACATTTATGTATATCCGTATGGATATTTTGTTGCCTGTGTGGTTTTCCAGTGGGATGCAGGTCTAAAGGCGGATGATCCCACCGCTGGAACCGCTAAGGAAGCAGCGAGAGAGCAAGGTGCTGGGAGAGCAATACCCGGAGGGTGTTTTTAAACACATATATATAATTAACTGATAGCCCGGTTTAATCTCCCGTATTAATAGGAGGCGATGAGGGCGGTGCAGCTTGCAGAGCTGGGTTGGTGCTTGGGAAGTGTTAAATCTGCCCTGCTCCTTAGTGAGAACGCGATGGAAGTCCTTAAAAAACATATATCGCGCGGAGCCAGGACCTCCCTGCTGCCCTGGGCATCCTCAGGGAAGGGTTTGCCAGGGCCTGAGCAGCCCCCGGCGCCAGCAGCGCCTGCTGCAGTAGACCTGGTAGGGAAAGGGGAYGGGGGGCCTTTTTTTAATGAGTACTTAGGCAAGAAAAGGTCTGATAACCCCCCCAAACCTTTAGGATATGGAAAGGCATCTCTGCGTACCACTTAAGGAGATGCCCTGCATCTCATTTAAGCGTATGCAGCCCCTCTGCTGTTGGTGGGGAGCAGGGCCAAGCCTGTTTCCAGCTGGATCCTTTCCTTGTAGGCTTCCCGTCGTGGTGTTTTAAGAGCTGCAGCTTACCTAGGCCTGGCTTAACAGGGTGGCTGCGCAGGTCGCGTGGAGCCCTGGCTGTGTTTCGTGCACGGGGCTGTTGGGGTATGAAGGGGCTGCGTTGGGAGATAAACTGCAGCAAGACCATCCCCCGGGAGCCCTCTGCTTTTCCCTGCCTCGGGAACGCGGCAGGTGTCGGCAGGAGAAGCGAGGTCCTTTGGACAGGGACAGCTTCAAAGCGAGGGGCCTTTTTGTGGGAGCCAGGAAAGGGGGGAGTTTGGGAAGCGCCCGCCTCGGGCACTTGGAAACGCTCGCGGCTTCAAACCTGTTGGAAATGAATCCGCATGGGGAGCGTCGTGTCCCGCTGGAAGCGATGCGGAGCGAGGAGCCCGCCGGGGACACAACGTGCCGGCCGTGACCGCGCGCTCTGCCTCTCTCCGCAGTCCACCCCGCTGCACCTGGCGGCCGGCTACAACCGCGTGCGCATCGTGCAGCTCCTGCTGCAGCACGGCGCCGACGTCCACGCCAAGGACAAGGGGTAAGGGGCGGCGCCGCTCCCGCGGGAATCGCGCCGCCTCCGGAGGCGGCCACGGCGTGCGGCGTAAGTCGGTCGTGGGGGAGCCCTCGTCACAGATCAGCCGGGGTTAGGCCCGTCTGCAGTCCCTTATGACGTCCCCAGTTGCTTTCCCGCTCYTCATCCTCTGCACAGGCTGCCCTGTAAATTCCTGGGCTTCTGCCGCYGCTTTGGGGAAGCGGGAGCAATAAGGAAGACTGGCGTAAAGATAAAGCTGTAAAGATAAAAAATAGTGCGTGATAACATAAGTGCAAATAAGATAAAATAGGTTGTGCTGCCRAAATATGCACAAAATCAGGTGGATGCTTTTCCTTGAAAAGGCTGGATCTCCCCAGCAGACAGCAAATCTTGTTTTTTAAGTATTAATATTGTAAAATTTGCTTTCTGCTTCTCTCTGAGAGAGAGGAAATAGCTCCTGCTTCTCGGAAAAACGCTGCTCAGATACTTACTTGTTCCCTCTCTTGGCGCAGGGGTCTCGTGCCTCTCCACAACGCGTGTTCCTATGGGCACTACGAGGTGACCGAGCTGCTGCTTAAGGTAAGCAGGGGGACAGGGGGGAAACTGCTGCAGCCCCGAGGGCGGGAGGGTGCGCGTGGGCTGCCTAGGCCCGACCTAAACCTGCGCGTGCCAAAACAGCAGCGCAAATGCCCGTTTTGTGTCGGCTCCCTGTTGGTTTCTGTGACCACACGCGGTGCTCGCCCCGCAGCACGGCGCCTGCGTCAACGCCATGGACCTGTGGCAGTTCACGCCGCTGCACGAGGCGGCCTCCAAGAACCGCGTGGAGGTCTGCTCGCTGCTCCTGAGCCACGGCGCCGACCCCACCTTGCTCAACTGCCACGGCAAGAGCGCCGTGGACATGGCCCCCACGCCGGAGCTGCGCGAGAGGCTCACCTGTGAGTGCGCACCGCATGCGGGGATCCCGCGGGAATACCACGGGATCACGTGCCCCGGCACTACCTTCCTCCCAAGCGCCCATGGAGGGGGAGACACGGCCCCTCCTGCAAGGAAGGATGAGCTCTGAGCTGCCCCTCTCCCGCCTGCCACAGGCTTCAGGACAGGTTTGCTGCCCCTCAGCTCAGATCAGCGCCTGGAAAAGCCCATACAGGCTTCCTTTCCTTTCCTGTACGTTCCACTTTCCCCCGGGAAGGACATTTTTCGTGGGAAAACCTGCCCTGGGATCAGGAGGAGCCATGCTTCAAGTGTCTCTGCTGTAGCAGGRGGTCTACTGCTAGGCTGAGGTTGGAAGGGAGCTCTAGAGGTCCCTTCCAACCTCARCCGTTCTGTGATTTTCCATGTCCACTGATCGTGCCTGAATTGTGTGCGTTAGCCYGACCCTTTAACCAAATCTGTCCTCCTTTTGATGAAAAGGGGCATCCTCCCTTTGCGTGCCCCGAATAAGGCATATTTAGCGTGTCATTTGGAATGATACTTTTATTTGTTATTTGGAGGTTTATTGACACTTGCGTTCGGTGCAGTGCTTACAAAGCAGTGTGAATCCTGTTTGAAGTGCCCTCGATTGGAAAGAGGCCACAAATGCAGGGTGGCAGAAGGAAGCTGCTCTTGGCACATTTCTAGACAGGTTGTGTCTAGCGCCCAAGTTCAGACCTTAGCCTTAGACCTAGCTCTACCCTAACCCAGCCCTTCATAGGTTTTAGGGGAAATGCTTTTCCATGATTATTTCCTCCCTATTTATTTCCCATGGTTATTTCTCTGTACTTAAGGCTTTTCCGAGCCCGTTACAGCTGCCTCCCSCCGGCAGCGTTGCCCGGGGGCACGTGGCTGAGTTCTCAGGGCGCCTCTTTCCCCCACAGACGAGTTCAAGGGACACTCGCTGCTGCAGGCCGCCCGAGAGGCCGACCTGGCCAAAGTGAAGAAGACCCTGGCCCTGGAGATCATTAATTTCAAGCAGCCGCAGTCGCACGAGACCGCCCTGGTGAGATCACGCAGGCAACCCGGGGCTCACGTGCTGCCAGCACCAGCTGGGAGCGTTATTCCCGTGTTAGGGAAGCCCGTTCATCTCCCGGGATGGAGGATTTGCCGTCGAGCACTTGGTGTTTTAGAGTTAAACCGTTGTCACAYGGATAACACTATATAATTGTATTATCCTTTTGTTCCCTTCGTTTCTTCTGCTTTCCTCTGCCTCCTGCACTGTGTGTTTGCCAGGGCCGGATTCCATCCAGGCGGCCCAGCACTTCCTTGGGGATCCCCGTGGGCAAAGGTGGAGGCCAGGTTTCCTTCCTAGGGTGCCAAAGGCATCGGTGTCTCTTCTCCCCATGCTGGACTTGGCCTCYTGGTCGGAACTGAGGAGCACGGTGGAGAGGGCAGGGAGGCCAGGAGGATTCCTGCCTGTTAGTGCATGTGTTAGTGTCTGCAAAGCCTGCAGAACGATGCTACTCTGCAGAGCAAAAGGTCTTTCCGGGTTTTCCAAAGCCTGCCTCTGGAAAATTTGGMTGTGCCCCACTCATGGATGGCAGCGTGAAAGCCTAAGTGGCAGTTACAGGGAAAAGGGAGAAAAAATAGGTATCGGTGCCGTAGCTGTTTTGTCAGGTGCTTCTCCGGGTCTGTCCTGGTGCGAAGGCTCTTGGTTTGACACTGGAGAGTTTGGGAGCTCTTGYAGCAAGTCATTGCCTGCCCTTTGTGTCTTTACTCCTTTTATGTCCTTTATTTTGTCCCTGTTTGTCCCTACATCTTGTCAACGCACTTGGCAACATCCCACTTTTTCCAAAGCGCTGGAGCTTCCGAAGGGACGTCGCTTTCCGCGCGGGACAGCTCCGCGCTGCTCCCCGGCTGGCGCCTTGGTTCGGGCCGGAGCACGACGGGCCCGTCCCGGCTCCGCGTGTCCCGTTGGTCGGTGCCATTCCCGGAGCGCGGCCCCATGGAGCTGTCACCCCCGCGGGTGCCGGGGCCCTCCCTGCGCCCCCAGCCCCTGCTCCCTGTTTTGCAGCACTGCGCCGTGGCCGCCGCGCATCCCAAGCGCAAGCAAGTGACGGAGCTGCTCCTCAGGAAGGGGGCCAACGTCAACGAGAAGAACAAGGAGTAAGTTGCCCAAATTGGCCCCTTTTCCAAGGGACGCTCTCACGTTGGGAATGCCAAGCTAATTCCTTCCGTTTTGTTCCCTGCCCCCAGCTTCATGACACCTTTGCACGTTGCAGCTGAGAAAGCTCATAACGACGTCATGGAGGTTCTGCATAAGCACGGAGCAAAGGTGAGTGTCCTGGGATACGTTTGCTATAAGGCAGTTGGATGAAACTCTATGGAAACTAAGGCAGTTGGAGCACTWTATGGGTTAAACAAGTGCCAGTTTTCGTGACAGCTATTGCTTGTCCCTCCACGCCCCTTGCACGGCCTGTGTTAAGGTATATTTACCTTAAACCAGAATAGGATATTCCATTTAACAATGAGGTCTCCTCTCCACACACCTGCCTGTAGGAGAGCTCGTTCCTGGATCCCTGATTCCCTTCTGCAGCTGTTTGACAGAGTGGTGAAGTGACTTAATGGCAACGCTGGGCTGGAATTTCTCACGCCTGAGAGTCCTCGTGTGGCACCATCTCAGCAAGAATCCCCCAGGGAAGGCAGGGGGATCGGGAAGAGCCTTGCTATTTATTCACACTGTAAATTATCCTCTTCCCACGTAGCAGTGGGAATCACCGAATGGCATCAGCCRCTCCTCCCAGGCTGGGATCATGGGCAGACTTCCCAAGGGGACCACTCCGTCCCTGCATCCAGGTCCCTGGGGCCTCCAAGTAGACTTTGCAGCACTGAGCACAGCCTTCGTTAGGAGAGAAAAGATTTCCTTTGCCTGTAGAAACAGGTTTATATGGATCCCATATCCCCCACAGCTCCCTTATGGGGGCTTCTATGTCCTGAAGCAGAGGCTTCCGATTGGGATCTGAACTGATGGAAAATGCACATGTGGGTTTCCATGGGATGCGGATCATTCGGGCTTATGGAGCACTTGGAATGTCCCGCTTGGGATGTGCTCTGGAGGATTAATTAGCTGTTAATGGTGGGATTAATGATGCCACAATGTTCATCCTGCTGCTGTGTTTTCATGTGGCCCCTTGGTGGTGGTTTTCGCCCTTAGTGTTGCCTCTTGGTTCTGGCTGTTGGGGCGTTCCTGCTTTTTATACAAATTCCCGCTTTTTGGGAGGGAGGAGGTGCATTTCGCCTACCCTGGAAGGCGTTTGCAGATGTGCTTAGCCCCTGGGTCCGGTCTGGTCACATTTGTGACAAGGTGCTTGGCCACAAGCTGGTAAATCCATTCTGGTGGGAAGTAGCTTTTTTTTCCCATTTTTAAGCCTCTATTATTCGCTGTCTTTCCGTGGTGGGAGATGGAGACGCTCGCAGCTTTATAGCTGCCTCTGTGAAGGCCTAGCAGGCAGGTTTCTGGTGTGCTCCTTAAAAAAGCAGTGCCCTTTCACACCCTCGTTCTGCCCCTTTATGCCATTGAACTGGGTAGAACTACATCCAGTTGGTTCCCTGGCTTTGAAAGCACCTGAAAAAGGAGGAGGAAAATGGGCTGTCTGTATCTAGTCCCTCTTTTATTTTCCCTCCTCCGTGGCGCTCTTCATCCGACCCTTTGTTGGGCTCTGACGTTGGGCGAGTTCCTCGTCCAAGGATGACTCAGGGTCATTCCCGTGGGGCTGCAGCAGCTTCGGCTGCTTTGGTTCCTTGTTTCCCTCCCGCTCCCTTTCCATGCGGGTTCAGCTCCTGTTGCACAAGGTCCTTCCTCATCCCACTTGCTCACCTGTGTGTTCGGTCACGCAGAGGAGCAACCTGCCTTATTAAAGGAGAGAAAAGCACGTGCTGGAGATTCCCTCCGTGTGCAGCTTCCCGCTGCCTGCAGCGCTGACGCCGGGTTGTGCCCAGCGCAGAGGGAGCCGGAATGAACCGCAGGCTCTTTATTCCCCTTCCTGTTAAAAATGAGGGACGGGGGAGGCTTGGGGCGAGCGTGCCGTGGGGTTGGCGCCGCGGTGACCCCTCTGTCGTGCGCTGTGCGCCCCGCAGATGAACGCCCTGGACACGCTGGGCCAGACGGCGCTGCACCGCGCGGCGCTCGCCGGCCACCTGCAGACCTGCCGCCTGCTGCTCACCTACGGCTCCGACCCGGCCATCATCTCCCTGCAGGGCTTCACGGCGGCGCAGATGGGCAGCGAGGCCGTGCAGCAGATCCTCAGCGGTGCGTAGCGCCCCGCTCGGCCCTCGCCGCGCTCGCCGAGCGGCGCCCCGCTCTCCTGCACGGGGGGAAATCGGCACCCGCGGGCGCGCGGGCGGCTCCGTGGCGAGGAGGCAGCGGGGTGGCTTCTGCAGCAGCTTCCAGCTTGGCAGGGACCTGTTTCTCTCGCCAAAGACACAGAGAAACACTGGTCGTCACCTAAGCGTTGGAGCTTCCCCTTCCCGTGCTCTGCTCTCCAGCAGGGAGCGGTTTTGCTGTCCAAGCTCTCCAGACACTGCTTAGCAAGCACTATATCTTTATAAAATTAAAAACTTACTTTTTGTTGTTATGTGCATGAAAAAGAGGAATAGTTACTTGAAAAGGACAATGTATGTTTTGTAAGTGCTTGTGCTCCTTCGTGCTTTTCCCTGTGCATCCATTTGCAAGCAGGGAGAGGGGCTGCATCAGCAGGTCCAGGGATATAAGGCGTGTGTGACATGTGTAGGGTGACCCACATAACTGTGGGATTCACCTGTACTCCGAGGGGGATGGATATGCAGATTCCTGAGGAAACCAGAGGTGGATGGTAACTGCGTTTCCCCCTGGTGTTTCCAATAGCTTTGCCTCCAAGCAGACCAAAAAGAGGCATTTTTAGAGCCCCGCAGGAAAGGGCCTTTTTGAAGCGTCCCTCCCCTCCGGGGCGGTATGGAGCTGCCTGGGGAGGGCAGCACGACCTGCTCRGAGGGTGCCTGGAAGCATGGAAATGGGAGCGGAGAGAAAAGAACCAGGGAGAGGCATGAGGAGAAAGCCGCTGGCTCCCCTGCTGCCAGAAAGAATGGGAAATTGGTCTCGGAAAGACAGGAGATCTTTATTCYGAGAACACCGATTGGATTTTGCTTGAAAAAACTCCCTTTTGCTGTTTTTTTAATGAGAGACTTAACTTCACCCGTCAGACAGCGCCGTGTTGAGATGAACTGCCCTTGTCTTGCACACACGAAGCTGTTGGAGACGGAGAGGTGCAAAAGCCAGAACGAAGCACCCCTGAAGGCAGCGTAGGGTTGTGGGCACCGTGTGCTCTCTGTGTGCCAGAAATGCTGAGGTTTTCTACCAAATAACATTGCGCATTCCATTTTGGGGAGAGTAGTTTAAAAAATTCCTGTTTTTTCTGAATCCTGGGGTTCCTGGGGTGCCGTAACAGCTCCCAGGCCGCGGAGCCCAGCTCGCGCTTGCAGCATGTGCCGTTTCCCCGCKCGTTGTGGTGGCGTTTCCCCGCGGTGTGGGCTGCTCGGCTGGCCCTTGGCGGCGCTGCCGGCCCCGGGAGCGGGGCTGTGAGCTCACAAGCAGGAGGGCAGCCCTGTGGTGAGGTCGGGGCCGGCCTCGTGCTCGGAGCTGCCCTGGGGGTCGAGCTCYCGTCCGAGCAGCGTGGCTGCCCGCAGCATGCCAGCCAGCGAGCTCCTTAGCCGTCCTCCAGGGCCGCTTGGAAAATGCTGCTCTTCTCGCTCCTCAGAAAGAGTAAGTAGCTGCTTCCCTGGGAAAATCCTGCCATCTCGACGGCCATTTCYTGGGAATCCCTGCCACTTTTTCCTCCCTCTCCTCCTCCGCCTGCAGTGACCCTGGAGGCAACAGGGAGCCAAAGGCTGCAGGCAGTGAYGGAGCAAATGACAAGGCGAGAAACCAGGGCTGCAAAGAGCGAATGTTGTGTCAGGCTGAAGGGCTGAGCTGGGCTCTGTCCTCGGAGAACAGCCCTCCCTCTGTGCCTGCTTCCCTTGCTGGGAATATCCGTACTAAAGCTTCCCGCTTTAGCCCGAGACGAAGCCGTTTCCTTGCCCTTCCCATCACGTTACTGGAAATGCTGGCAGGCTCCTCCTTTTTTTGCAGTTTGGAAAATGTATTCATAAAATGAAGCAATTGTAAAGAAAAATAAAACTAAGTCCTCTTTTTTCCTTCCGCAGAGAGCACACCTGTGCGCACATCCGATGTGGATTATCGCTTGCTAGAAGCATCCAAAGCCGGAGATTTGGAAACTGTGAAGGTATGTTGGGACAACGCGTTTTAAACCGTGCTTAAACCTCCACTTGGGCCACAGGGTCCCAGTGGCATCCCCAGCATCCCAGCTGGGCTTGGCCCCATCTTCCAGCCTGGATCTGTGGGCAGAACAACTCTCCCCATCTTGCACACGCTGCCACCTTGAACCTCCGGCTGGTGCATGCACAGATATTCCAGCAGTGCGAGTCCTGTGCTCCAGGAAATCTGCCTGGTCTCCTTCAGTGCCCACCGCTTTCCGCAGGCAGCAGCGAAGCTCTGCGTGGTGCTTGGTGCAGAGACGCTTGGAGGGGCCTGAAGCTGCTGCCCAGCGGCTTGGCAGCCCAGCCTGAATGTATTAGGGAGGCCCTCTTACTGCTCCCATCATTTAAAGCCTGTTTGCTGCACAAGTGTCTTAAAAAATGTAAATTTAGAGCTATAAGATTGTAAATTTAGAGCTATATTTTGAACCTTACCTATCCGGAAAGAAATTTTCTGGGAAGCTGACTTCCAAAACAGGATGATAAATGTCAGTAATGAAACTGGAGCTGTGGTAGGTGGCTTGGGATCAGGCTTTGYGCCGGGAGGGGCGGTTTGGGACAGCTCGGTGTCGTTCCTGGGACGCTACGCGGTGTCCTTGCCCTTGCAGCAACTCTGCAGCCCGCAGAACGTCAACTGCCGGGACCTGGAGGGGCGCCACTCGACGCCGCTGCACTTCGCCGCCGGCTACAACCGCGTCGCCGTCGTCGAGTTCCTGCTGCACCACGGCGCCGACGTGCACGCCAAGGACAAGGGGTGAGCCCCACGGCCGCTCCGGGCCTCCGGAGCGGGTGTTTTGTGCTCCCTCGTTGCTCCAGGGGCCAGGCTCGGTGCTCCCCGTAAGTCACGTGCAAGGCGCACGTGTGTGGCGCCGTGATTCAGGCCCCTGCTGTCCARCACAGAGCCATCGTGCTCAGAGGCAGCCTCTGGGGTGCTTCACGTGCTGTAAAACCAGCCTGAATGGCATGAAGTGAATAGCGGGATGCCCTCTGACTGGTTCTGTCACCCTCTTTGCTGGCTCCTGTGACGTTGCTCGGTCAGTTAAGCCAGCAGAGCCTTTACAGGTTATGCCTTATTGCCCAGAGGTCRTGTAAAATAGCGCAGCTCTGCTTGGCCCTTCACTGCTCCATTACGTTGCTCCAATGGAGCAGGGCGCTGGGAAGCCTTTCCCACCCTGAAATCCCAGGTGCTCTCCAACAAAAACGTCCGGGCATCTTTCAGTGATGTCAGTGCTTGCTTTGCGCTTCAGACCCCTTTGCTGGCTCCAGGTACCTCTTCCAAACTCAGAACATCAGCRATTCTTTCACTTTATCACCGTTGTTAAGAGCATTAACATCAGGCCTGCAGCAATAGTAACTAGTAATAGTAAATAGTTCAGAGTTTAGCAGCCTCCGGGACAGGAGCTGGGCAGGGAAAACAGTTCCCATTTCATACAGACCTTGACAGCGTGGAAATAAAGCAGTGAAAACCMCAAAGCCTGGGAGAAATGGGTGATGCCTGCTGGAAAGGGGTGATTTCTCCCTTGGAGACTGTGCACTTGCGCTTTGGCTTTGATTCTCTGCTGATTTTGTCTGTTCTCGTTGGCCAGCGGCCTGGTGCCCCTGCACAACGCCTGCTCCTACGGGCACTACGAGGTGGCCGAGCTCCTGGTGCGACACGGCGCGTCCGTCAACGTCGCAGACCTCTGGAAATTCACCCCCCTGCACGAGGCGGCGGCCAAAGGGAAATACGAAATCTGCAAGCTGCTTTTGAAGGTGGGCACCCGGGCTTCCCCGGCGTCTCCTATGGGCGCTTGTGCCCTGTTTTGCTTGARATGGGCAGCAAAGTTAGCAAGTTCTTCATCGGGATAAGTATCGAACTTATTTTTGTCTTGGGATTGTTGGGTAGGTTCTCCCATAAGGTAAGTTCACTCTGTAAAGATTCACGGATATGTTTTTCCATTACCTTAGTCTAACATGCTCAGTTGTTCATACCAGCCAAGTAGCGCCAGGCTCAGGCAAGCCAGAAAAAGCTGAATTTGTCTAAAGAGGACAAAAAAAAAAACCCAACCCTGATCCTATTCCTCACTTTCTGGAAGAATCATTGCAACTACATAGCCCTTTGCAAGTACTTCCACGAGGCTCTGTGTTGCAGAGTAACTGAAGGTGGCTCCTAGAAAGTGCCTGGCATTTGAGAAATCAAAACYTGCCAAGTTCATGTATAATTTAGCAAGCCGCTGCAGGAAATTTAGGTTAATAGGCCATGGAATAAGTGTAAGTACATGGAGGAGCAGGAAAAGACTTAAGGGTGGTGGCAGTGAGGGACCTGAGTTTGAGAGATGTTTTAATGTAGGGTCGTATCCTGCCTTGTGATGGCAGAAGGGAGCTGGAATTTGCTTGATATTCTTCCCCGCTGTAGCTGCTGTTTTAGCTCTCCTGCTTCATGTCCCCCTGGGAAACAGGGATCAGTAAGAGTCARTTTGTTCTTAGAGCTGTGTCTTTCCCTGGCGTGTGTGTGTGTCGCGGGCCGCTGCCGAGCCCTGCTCCTTGTGCCCGTGCCCGTTAGTGCCTTCCCTGGATGGGCAAGCTGGGCTGGCAGGGAGGCTCGTCCTGGCGCGGGGACGAGGAGCTGCCTGTGACGGGGCGCCCCGCGTTGCCCTCGCAGCACGGCGCCGACCCCACCAAGAAGAACCGCGACGGCAACACGCCGCTGGACCTGGTGAAGGAGGGCGACACGGACATCCAGGACCTGCTGCGYGGCGACGCCGCCTTGCTGGACGCCGCCAAGAAGGGCTGCCTGGCGCGCGTGCAGAAGCTCTGCACGCAGGAGAACATCAACTGCAGGGACACGCAGGGCAGGAACTCCACGCCGCTGCACCTCGCAGGTGGGTGGCGCGTGGAGCACCTCTGGCTTCAGCCTCGGAGGAGCAGGACATGGGGCTGCCCTAGGGAGAGCTGCCTGGAACGGAGAGGCGTATCCGTGACAGCTGTGATRCAGTTATTGGGAAAAGAGGAGCTTTCTCCACCTAAAAAGGGCTTTAGCTTTTCTGCCATTGCCTGTGGTCCATCCCCGCCGACGCCTGACTTGTCCCRTGTCTCCTGCAGCCGGCTACAACAACCTGGAAGTGGCGGAGTACCTGCTGGAGCACGGCGCCGACGTCAACGCACAGGACAAGGGCGGCCTAATCCCCCTTCACAACGCGGCCTCCTACGGGGTGGGTACTCGGGGGACTCCTAGGGCTCCTATCCCGGAGCCCGACCGGCTCCGAGCCGGGGAGGAGGCAGCTGTGCCCCCGCCCCGGGCTTTTCTTCCCGCGGGATTTTGGCCGGCTGGCGACGCGGCTGCGGTGTCTTGCAGCACGTGGACATCGCRGCGCTGCTGATCAAGTACAACACGTGCGTGAACGCCACGGACAAGTGGGCCTTCACGCCGCTGCACGAGGCGGCGCAGAAGGGCAGGACGCAGCTGTGYGCCCTGCTGCTGGCGCACGGTGCCGACCCCACCATGAAGAACCAGGAGGGACAGACGCCCCTCGACCTGGCCACGGTGAGTGCCGGCCTCACGCCGCCCTGCGGGGAAGATCCCTACGCAATCCATGGCGCTCTCCGTGGCGCCGGGCACCCTCGGGTGTCCCCGTGCTGGGATATACGGAGATGAGCCTCTCCAGGGAGCTTCCTTTGCGAGGCATCCAGGTTTTCTCCTGCTTTGTCCTGAGACCTTAACATGGCTCATGGCTTAAGGTTCCTTTCTGCGTAAGGGTTCGCTCCTGTCATCAGCCTTCCTGTTGGCAGCAGCGAGCCCGTCAGAAATGTTCCCCGTGTCATTGTTGGTTATTTCAGCATCCCGGGATTATTGGTGGTTATTGGCCTTTTCCTGAAACTGGCACCCCAACCCTTTTCGTTCGTGGTAGTGGTGGCAGGCAGTTAGAAACCCTAACAGAGATGCAGATGTTAAATGTTACCGATGGTTCCTGTAGAGAGAACGCGACCGGATTGGGTGCTGTGCCCGCTGCYGGTGCGAGTGCCTGCCCGAGAGCACTGACGTGTGTGAGCAGAGCTCAGGAAATCTCTTTCAGAACAAACCGAGCTCTGGGGGGCCTGCCTTGCCACGAGACACGTGGAAGCCCGGCCTAACGACGTCGCCGCGGGGTGCCCGGCGCCCTTGGTGCAAGGGGGCCCCGACGCGACGCCGCTTGTGCCCGCAGGCGGACGACATCCGGGCCCTGCTGGTGGACGCCATGCCCCCCGAGGCGCTGCCCTCGTGCTTCAAGCCGCAGGCCACGGTGCTGAGCGCCGCGCTCGTGGCGCCCGCCGTGGCGCCCTCCTCCTCGTCCTCCTCGTCCTCGTCGTCCTCGTCGTGCCTCGCGGCCGCCGGCAGCATCGACAGCCTGGCGGGGCCGCTGGCCGAGCTGGCCGCTGCCGCTGCCTCCAGCGCCGGCGACGGCGCCGCCGGCGCCGACAGGAAGGAGGCCGAAGGTACGTGGGGCCCCCCGGGAAYTCCCACGGGGAATCGGGGGGCGGTGCTGCCCCACGGCGCTTTGTTTGATGGGGAGCACCTCAGCTTGGGGTACAGCGAGCTGCTTCTCTTGCTGCAGTTGCTGGTCTGGACATGAACATCACGCAGTTCCTGAAGAGCCTCGGGCTCGAGCACCTCCGGGACATCTTTGAGACGGAGCAGGTGGGTGCCCTGCCGCGCTCCTGCCTCGCCTGGCCCCGGGTTTTAAAGCCAGGCTYGGCCCACAAAGCTGGGTGGTGTTTTAATTCCCTCATTCAAACAGGACAAGGAAGGAGGAATAAAAACCTATGGAGAGACAAATATAACCAGAGAAGCTGCAAATGAATCAGCAAGTGCTTGACAATGGCCATGTGTTCTCAGAGAAACCATGGGAGGTTCTGTGGGTGTTTGATTCACACGTCCAGTGGTTTTCACTTGCTTAGAGAGAAAAAGAAAAGCAGTGCCTGCCAGTGCTGCCAGTTTGACCAGTTTGACTCGTGATCTCAGGGTTATGCTGGAAATTCTGCCAAGTCTGAGCCCGGGCCATCGAAGCACAACGAGGTTTGGCCAGTCGAGGGGCCGCCCGTGGCGCTTGTGTCTGCAGAGGCTCCAGCTGCGGCCACAAGCTCCGTAGGGATGGTGGYTTCCCGGGATGCAGCAGCGCGGTGGCAGGTCGGGGTGAGGCCGCAGCATCAGCGGGACTTGGGGAGCGGGGGAGTTTCCARTGCAGCCCCTGGCCTCTGCTCCTCGTCTCTTGGGAGGGCTCAGGAAAGACACGCTTAAAGGTGATGTGTGACTTGGGGAAAAAGCAGCTCCAGCGGTGCTGAACGTGGCAGGGGGGCGGCTGCAGGCTGGCACGCTGTGTACGCCTGTGTCCCTTCTTACATGCGGAGGGCAGGCGTTCTTCTTTCGTTTGCAAYTGCCCCTCGTAGTTCCAGACCAGCCTGTGTGCTGCTCACCTTCCCATGCCCACCTTTCCRGAACTTTCCTTTGCAGCGCTGGCTTCGTTCCCGCTTTCCTTCCTTAACCCCTGACCTGTTCCTAAAATCTCCCCTTGCTAATAAGGTTTCGAGAAGGAAATGGGCTCTGCTGCTCTTGCATTTTGAAGCTTTYGTAGCTCCTTTGATAGCTCCTTTGAAGCTTTCATAGCTCCTCTTGTCCTTCTGGTGGAGATCAGCCCATCCCCATGGTGCTGGCARTCCAGCAAAGGCTTTTGAACCAGGCTGCACCATTCCTTGCTGCTTGCTGAGCTTCCCATTGCAGTTCCCATTTGCAAGTAGGTTTYGTGTGGATGCAGGTGGAGTCTGTTTCTTGCAGGTCTGAAAAATACCATCTTGGCACACAAGTGCTTTACAACAATAAAAAGGAGCCTTTTKCCTTTTACTCTTAAAAAGAAAAGCTCCTCTGAGCGTGCATTTCATTGCCTGCTTTCACCAGGAATCCGCACGGCCTGGGAATTTGAGACAGGTTTGGCAGAAATCTCGGTGTGTGAAAGCAAGTGGCTGCAAGTGCCCGTGCTCCCAGTGCTGCTCATCTGCAGAAAGAGCAGGCTGGGTGGCAGTGCCTGGATGTACACAGTAGGAGCACCCTCCACAGGGAACTTCCCAAATACACAGCACTGTAAAACCTGGAATGGTTTTCCAGGGAGAAAGAACCCTGGAATTCCACACTGTTCCCAGGAGTCGCCTGGCCTTAATGTTCTTTGCCTCCTGCTTCCACATGAGGAATAGGGAGGGATAGGGAGGTCTTGCCAGGAGGTGGCAGCAGGTAGGAGCGCCGCGAGGCACCAGTTACACAAATACGATCACAGCACAAAGCATTTCTCCCCATTTCCTGAAAGGATCAGGCTTCAGCCTCGGGAATAAGGCATTTTTGTGGTGTGTTCACCTCTGCAGATAACCCTGGACGTGCTGGCGGACATGGGGCACGAGGAGCTGAAAGAAATTGGGATTAACGCCTACGGACACCGCCACAAGCTGATAAAAGGCGTGGAGAGGCTTCTGGGAGGACAGCAAGGTACCCGCGACCTCCTGGCCGTTTAGCCCCGAGTGCAGCCTCCGGTTGCCTCCTGTGAATGCTGCCTTTCCCCCGGGCCCTGGGGGAGCCGGGGCGCTCGGTGCCTGCTGGCGAGCCCCAAACCGGCTCTGTCCTGCTGCCTTGAAGGCCCTGCTGCCAAGGAAATCACCCCGTGTGCCTGCAGTGATGCCTCTGGGCTCTGTATTTTGCTTCTGGGCTCTGTATTTTGCATTTCCTGCTGCACGGGGCTGACTTGAGAAGAATCGCAGTGATACTGGATAAAAGCAGAGCTGGGGCTGTTTTCTCCTGCTATCCATTTAATTTTCTTACCCGTCTAATTCCTCCTCCCGGCAGGCACCAACCCYTACCTGACGTTCCACTGCGTGAGCCAGGGCACCATTCTGCTGGACCTGGCTCCCGACGACAAGGAGTATCAATCCGTGGAGGAAGAGGTACTGCCGAGATCCTCCCTGCAGCCCTCCCGGGGCAGCGCCCCCATAAACACCTCCTMCATGCCCTGTTAAACACTGGTACCCGTCTGCCTTTTGTCACGAGTCCTTTATTCCCATGCCAGAAGTGTCACCGAGTTAGAAGCCAACAAAAAAGGGGCTGTTTCTCTCCTCTTGTTAGTGCTGGACCTAAAGATAAAGGGGCTGTTTGCACATAGCGTCCATCAGAAGTGATAAAATGTGTTTTTATCTGCGAATTGTACAGCTCTGGCGTGGAAGTTAGACCCTGTAATTGCCTTATTTTGTTTTATTTTATTTTTTTCGAATATAGCCTTGACAATTCAATGCTAAGAATGATGGAAAAGCCTTTTGCTGCCTCCTGCCCAAGCAGGTTGGAGCCTGGCCTGAGTGACGGTGCAAGGTGCTCTTGTGTCATTGGGAGCTGGCTGCAGGTTTACCTCCCATGAGATAATTTTGAGAGGGGAAGAAATATCCAAACAATAACAAAAAAGAAAAAAAAAATTTTTGAGGGCTTATTTGAGGCGTGAGGCTTTTGGGAGAGTTGAGGCTGGAAGAAGCTGAGGATTCCTGTGCATTTCTGTGTGTTGCTCTTCCTCCCTTGTGGTGCAGTAGGGCTGGGGGGGCTTTTAGAGCCTAAATATTCACAGCTGCTGCCAGTGTAGCCAGGAATCTTTTTTGTTTTTCATTGGAAAAGTCTAAATCACAGAGTTTGCACAGAATTTTCCTATAGGCCTAGCTGACAGAGAGGGGCACCTTTCTGCCCGAGCAAAATGGGATGTTTATTGGCACTAAATCACTAAGTAACGTTGCTGCAGCTCTAAATATCCCTTGAAATGATCCCGGGAAGCTGTCCCGAWTACCCTGGGGACCTGCTAATGACGTAGGATTTCTGCTTTTGGTGCAGGCATCTTCCTGTCCCTAATAATGCAGCCCTAATGTCTGTGCAGACTAAGGTCTAATGCAGACCTTGGGCTCGTTAGAAGCACCCGAGTTGTTACTCCAGAATGGTCTTAGTGTCTACACATAACTGCATTGCTGCCCAAGGAAATGGAATTTACAACTGAAATCTCTTCTTTTCTGGCACTTTGTAGTTCATTTTTGAACACTTTTAATGCCTGTTGTTGCCTCTGAAATGCTGAGATCTGCAGTGGGTGCCTGGCTCGGCTAGCGAGCTCCGTGCACTGATTCCCTATTCTGTTCTCTCGCCTAGATGCAAAGTACGATCCGGGAGCACCGGGACGGCGGGAATGCTGGCGGCATCTTCAACAGGTACAACGTCATCAGGGTAAGTGGCAAAGCTTCCAGTTCCTCACGTCTCTCCTCCGGAATTGCTCCGTTTCTTTAGCGTTTAGCGTGTGTCAGACGTCGGGAAGCGCAGCTTGCCCGGCAGAGGAGAGGCTTTAAGGCAAGCTGCAAACCCCGCTGCCTCAGACCTCTCTGGTGGCGGGGAGGCTCAGCCTCAGCTGCAGGACTGCCCCGATATTGTTATCGTTATTATTTCTAAACCACTGGGGTGTCTTAGCGCCAGCTCTGGGAAGCTCCGTCCTGCCTCCTAAACCTAACCTCTGGGAAGCTCCTAAACCTAAGCCGCCTGCYGGGCGCTGTTGCTCGCCCTGCAGATCCAGAAGGTGGTGAACAAGAAGCTGCGGGAGAGGTTCTGCCACCGCCAGAAGGAGGTGTCGGAGGAGAACCACAACCACCACAACGAGCGCATGCTCTTCCACGGTGAGGAGGCGCGGAGGCTCCTCGGCAGGGCCTCCCCCTGCCCCGGGAATCGCTGGGCCAAGGCAGGGTGTATCCCGCACATGGAGGGGAGCTCGCAGAGCAGCCTTCCCCGCACGCGGACGTTCCCTGTGCACCTTCTGTCCCAMATCCCCATAGGAAGGGGGCTGGGGGTGTCCGTCCCGCCCCCATCCTCCGCAGCACCTGAGGAGGGGGGTTATTGCCTTCAATAAACGTGAGCAGGGGCAGGAGCCCTTGAGAGCGCCCGGGGAGGCCGTTTTGGGGCTGCTCCGCGTGCGGAGCCGCCCGTGACCGCCCCGTGCTCCGCAGGCTCCCCCTTCATCAACGCCATCATCCACAAGGGCTTTGACGAGCGGCACGCCTACATCGGCGGCATGTTCGGAGCCGGCATCTACTTTGCGGAGAACTCCTCCAAAAGCAACCAGTATGTGTACGGCATCGGCGGCGGCACCGGCTGCCCCACGCACAAGGACCGCTCCTGTTACCTCTGCCACAGGTACGCGCCCGCCTCGTGCTGCCCTTGGGCTGGGCCTAAGTGCCGCAGGGTCCAAAACTGCGGCCGGACACTCAGGGCTGCGAGCAAGGACCAGTCGGTGGCCGAAACAGCAAGGCTCAAAGCGAAGTCGGAGGAGAATGTCCATTAAAGCCCTGCTGTCTCGGCGCAAAGCCATGGGGCGGGTGGAGGCCGGGAGCTTTGCCCCGGGTTTGTTTGGCACCAGCCCAGCCCCGCGCGCCCTCCTCGTGCCCTGCACGGCCCGCGGGGCCGCTCGGAGACTGCGGCCCCCGCCGGGGCGCTCAGCTTGTCCGCCCTCCCTGCAGGCAGATGCTCTTCTGCAGAGTGACCCTGGGCAAGTCCTTCCTGCAGTTCAGCACCATGAAGATGGCGCACGCGCCGCCCGGCCACCACTCGGTCATCGGGAGGCCGAGCGTCAACGGGCTGGCCTACGCCGAGTACGTCATCTACCGCGGAGAGCAGGTAGGCGGGCGGCGCCGGGAGAGCCTGGGATAGCCCGGGATAGCCCGGCACCACTCTGCTCCCTAGGCTGGGGGGCTGCAGGATCGCGTGAGCTTGGGATAGAATCACAGAATCCTTGTGGTGGGAAAAGACCTTCCTTCAAAGAGCTCATCCGCTGGGACTCGGAGCAGCCCTAGGACAGCCTCTTGTCCTTGTTGAATCCAGGCGAGGCTGCTAAGCGCTGTGACCGGGCAGGGCCTGAAGACCTGTGAGCACGGAGCTTCCCTTGGCAGTTCCCRAAGGAACCAGCTGGTTCCTTTGCTCCTTTCTCCTCCGAGCACAAATTGCAGCCTGTCCCCGGCAGGGAGCCGCTGGTGGAGGGGCCTGCGGGTCCCCCGGCACCGGGGCGAGAGCTCGGCCCTACAGACCACGTCCGTGCTCTGCTTTCCTGGGTCCCCTKGGGGCTCTAAGTGATGTTCCCCGGCTGTGAACAGCCTGTGTGCACGCCCAGGGTGCTGCAGCCTCGTGCTGCCTGTCCCACCCGCGGCCCCAGAGGGTGGGCTTGGCCTTGCACCAACTTTTGTGGTGATTTGGGTTTTTTCTTGGCTTGCTTCCAGGCATACCCAGAATATCTCATTACGTACCAGATTGTGAAACCAGAGGCTCCCTCACAGACAGCGACAGCAGCCGAGCAGAAGACCTAGTGCCCGCGGGGCAGCGCGGCGGGATGCGACTTCACTCTCGGACTGGACGGACGCGTGTTTCAGAAAATCCGTATCCTATAAAATTCCTACAAGGCCCGGAAGCAGCTGTGTGTGCTGCGTGAAGCACCGCTCCCTCGGTGCGAGCGCTGGCCGAGCAGCTCCCGCAGGGCCGGCGGCTGCTGCTCCCGCCGAGGGAGCTTTCCCGGGGGCTGCCCTGGCCGCCGTGCCCGCGTGGAGCAGCCCCCTTGCTCAGCCCCATTGCTCGGGGGGAGCGCTGCCCTGCGACCGGCCGGCCTCACCAGCGCCGCCGCACGCGAGAGACGCCCGGGACGGGACGGGCTGCTCCCGGCCCGTCACCCTGTTYCTCCCTGGTTCCCGCTCAGCATGCAGCGCTCGCTGGACGTCCCCGAGGGAGCCCACCCGGCTATTTATTCTCCTTTTGCGCCCTGAAGCTGGGCCCGGCCCGAGGACGCTCTGCACGACGGTGACCCAGGCCAGCGCTGCCAGCGACGCTCGGGAAGGAGGCACCGGCCGCAGCGCGCGTGCCCGGGCGCTCTTCCCGTGCCCCCCAAGCAGGCCCAGGGCCCGAGAGGGCAAAGGGGGAGCCGGCTCCGGCGGGAGGTGCCCACGGAGCGACCCGACCCGCACCGCTCGGCCTGCCTTGGCTGGGYGATGTCTGGCCGGCCGGCTCCCCAGGGAAGCAGCGCTATCCCGCCCGCGTCCGTCCCTCCTTCCTTGGTGACCTGCCTGGACGCCGCGTGGTCCTTGTGAGCGGATTCCGCGGATAACGGGCGGGCGCTGGTGTTGGGGCTGCGCGTGGGGTAGCGCTGGCGTTGCGGGGAGCCGGCCAGGCTGGGCAGCGCTCGGCTGCCCCGGGGGTTGGTTTTCGCCTCAGCCGCTGCCACGGTGTGTGTTTGTGTGGGGGGAAAGGCGCCCGTGCCCCTCGGGGCCCTGGTGGGGCTGAGCGCCGCTCGCCCGGCCCCCTTGGAGCAGCCGGCACGCACCCGGATTCCCACCCGGAGCACGCAGCGGGATGGACGTGGGGAGCGGCCTCTGGAGAGGCCCCAGCCCAGCCTCCCTGCGCAGGCAGGTCCCGCAGCCCAGGGCCTCCATCCCCCAGGGATGATGGAGGCTCCGCAGCYGCTCCGGCACCTCCGAGCGGGCGCCCTGGGAGAAGGTGCCCGCGGCGCCCGGCACCGGAGGAGAGGCAAGGACCCTTGGGAAGCCCCGGCGTGAGCAGAGCCCGGCCTCGCGGGCACGGGCCCAGCGAGGGGCCAGGCGGCCCCCGTGCAAAGGGTCCCCAAAAAGTGGCCGTTGGTCCCCAAAAGTGCAACAGMGGAGCTGCTGGCTCTGCCCCCGCGGCCGCTTGTGGAGCCACCGCGGAGCAGCTGGAGCTGGCGAGGAGGGGGAGAACAGGGGTCCCCGCGGCGGCCCCCGCGTGCCCCCAGCAGCCCCCCGGCCGGGGCAGCTCTCACRGGTTTCCCCTCTTCTTTTGGTGTAGCTCTCCTTCCTAACCAGCCCCGCTTCCTCTCTTGGTTGCCCCGCACCGGGGGCGTCGTTTATTTATTTCCTCCTCTTCCCCCTCCCTCCCTGGAAGGTGGTGGTGATGATGGTGATGATGATGATGATGGTGGTGATGAGGGGCAGGTCCTTGGCCGCCAGGGGCTTGGGCAGCAGCTCTGCCGCGCCCCAGTTTGGYCTCTCCATGTGCTTGGCTCTGCGTCTGATCTGCGATACTTGTACTAATAGTCTAAGGTCCAATAAACACGTTTTTAAAGAGCTGCCCCGTGCGGAGCCGCGTGTCTGAGCGCCCCCGGACAGAGCGGCGCCAGCCCCGGCTGCTGCAAACTCCTTTATTTCCATGTGCTCCAGGTCGCCGCCTCCCACCCCCCACCCGCCCCCAGGCAATAAATAAAAACTGGACCTCTAGAAAAACAAAACAGCAACGGTAATAAAATAAAACCACTCCTATGTACAGCGGCGGGGGGTGGCTCTGGCCCCCGGGGCCTTCAGCCTCCTCGCGCAGTGGCGGGGGCCCATCTTCATCTTCAGCCGCCGCCTCCCCTTGCTCCTCACGCGGCTCAACCCCTCCGGGCACCCCATGGGGCAGGGGTGGGGAGCGCCAGGTAAGGGGGGTGTGGGGTTTGTGTGGGGGGGCTGTCCCCCCCCCTTGGTTAATCCAGGGCAAGGGGAGGATGGAGAGAGGGGAGCCCCGGCGCCGCCGTTCCCTGCTCGGCTCCAGCGCCGGGGTGAGGGAGGGCGCCCCGCGGCCGCCCGCTAGCAGCTGGGCGACGTGGTGATGGGGCTGTGCAGGTAGGGCAGGCTGCCCGGCGCCCCCACGGCCACGGGGAAGCTGAAGACGAAGGGGGCGGCGGGGGCGGCCGAGGGCGGGCTGGCGGCCGCGGCGGCGCACGACGTGGCCAGCACCTGCGCCTCGAACTGCAGCAGCTGCCCCATGAAGCTGAAGTTGGGCGAGATGACGCTGCGGCGCTGCTTCACGAACTCGAAGGCCTCGTCCAGCCGCACGCGCTGCTTCATCATCAGGTAGGCCAGGCAGATGGTGGCCGAGCGCGAGATGCCGGCCTGGCAGTGCACGAGGACGCGGCCGCGCCGCTCCTGCACCGCGTCTGCAACGGGGACGGGGACACGGGCCGTGAGAGCGGCGCCCGAGCCCGTGCCCACCCGCACAACCGCCCGCCGGCCGGGCGCCTCACCGATGAACCCGATGGCCTCCATGAACCAGGAGCTGATGTCGGCCTTGTGGTTGTCCTCCACGGGGATGCTCTTGTACTCGTAGAGGCCCTCGAAGTGGTTGGGGCAGTCCGGGGAGACGTTGAGCAGCGCCGTGATGCCCAGCGCGTCCAGCATGTCCCGCCGCGCCGCGTGGTAGGCGCTGCCCAGGTACAGGAAGGGCAGGATTTCCACCGGCCCGGCCTGGCGGGACAAGAGGGGACGTGAGAACGGTGCCCGGAGGCYCCGTCACCCCGATGCCGCCTCGGGGGGACCCACGGACACAGCTTCACCCAGCGGGCCGAGGTGCGGACGGGCCCTACCTGGTCGTGCAGGGGGGTCCCGCAGGAGCTGCAGCCCAGGTCGAGGCCCTCGGCGCCGCCGGGGCCCGGCCCGCTGCTCAGCGACTTGCTCTTGGAGCAGAACTCGGGGTACTCGGAGGAGAAGCGCTCGTAGCCGCCTGCGGGGAGAGAGCCCGAGCGTGAGCCCGGAGCGGCGCCGGCTCCCACGGCGCCACTGCATGAGGCTCCGGGGAGACCGAGGGACAGCGGCCTCCGACCCGGCTCCCTGGGATGCGGCAGGGACCCTGGGGCTGGGAAACCGTCCCCGGGGCCTTCAGCTCTGCGGGGCCCCAGGCTGCCCCTGTCCTGCTCCAGGGCTCGGCTGCTGCAGGTCAAACCCGAGAATGAAGCCGAGGCGGGAGCGGAGCCCCCGGCAATGAAGCCGAGGCGGGAGCGGAGCCCCCGGCAATGAAGCCGAGGCGGGAGCGGAGCCTCCAGGAGGATGGAGCATTCGCCGCCAGCATCGCCTGCTCCATGGGGCGAAGCTGCTCCCAGCCCCTCTGCTGGGCGCCGCGCTGCTCCGAGAGGCCCCTGCAGCCTCCCCGGGATGCGGGTCACAGACCCCCCCGTATGGAGCAGAGGCCCCCGCGGCCCTTCCAGGCCTGGCAACAGACACAGACAGATACAGAGCTGCTGCCGGCCGGCTCCTCGGGCCAGGGCACCCGACCGTAACCTCCGCGGGGAGGTCTCTCCGTCCCGCACCAGCCACCCCGGCAGCCTCGAGCCTCTACGCCTGCAGAAAGGGGGCATTTCGGCTATGCCGTGCGCAGCCCCCCCGGGCCGGCCCTCGGCAGCGGCCGCTCCAGCCTTTCCGCACGGCTTCCTCGGCCGGCCGCGGCTCCGCGCCGGCCCTCGGCGAGGCTGGAGCCTCCAAGCAGCAGCCCCCAGCAGCGCAGCCCAGAGGGACCCCGAGGTGGCTCCAGAGGGACCCCAGCCCCTCGGCAAGCCCTGCGCTGCCTTCTCCCGCCCCCAACAAGGAGAGCCAGGCCCTGAGGCAGGGACCGCGTCAGACGGGTCYGGGCCTCGGGCGCGACGCGAGGCAGCGCGCCCGGCATCGCAGCGAGGCGGYTCCTTGGGCAGGAGCCGCACACTGAAATGCTTGAGGGCTCCCCCCGGCAGCGCCCGGCGCCCCAAAATAACCACTGAAATAAAGGGGAAAGGGCAGCTCCCCCTCCCGTGCAGCCGCTACTGCGTTGGCTGCTCCGCGCCTCCTGCTCCAAGCAATCCGACGCATAAAGGAGGACAGCGGGAAGCCGCCGCCAGCAGCCCAGGGAGCAGCCCCTCCCGAAACAACCTCTCGGCGCCCCGGTTGACGCCGAGGGCAGCCCCGCTCGCGGCCGTCGCTCCAAAACCTGCACAGACCCAGCCCGAGGGCTGCCCACACGGGACCACGTATCTGCCCCACACCACGGGGCTGGGGTCAAGCCCAAAGGGACGCGGGGGACAGGGCAGGGAATCCTCCCTGCTCTAACCAGGCCCAGGCCGGCGTGTTGGGGCTGTCCCCTCGTCCCCAGCACCACCTGCAGCCCCATTCCTGGGGTGCCCCTCAGCCTGGGGCAAAAGCCACAGGGTGCCCCCCAGCCATGGGGCTGCCCCACATGCCCACAGCTGCACCCCRAGGACCCAGCTCCTCTTCAGTGGTGCCAATGGGACTGCCCCCATCTCCATACCCACAGGCTCATGCCCTCTATACCCTCAACCACCACCACATCACCATGTCCCTCAGCTCCACAGCTGTGCCCACACGCTGCTCCCCTTCACAGCCTCCCAGTGCCACATCTGTGGGTCTGCCCCCTGTCTCCATAGCCATGGGGTCACCCCCTTTCCACTCCCAGCTACAGAGCCAYGGGGCTGCCCCCAGCCCTGCCCCWGGGGCTGCTGCCATCCTCAGCCTCCTAGTGCCACATCCGTACGGCTGTGCCCATCTCCACAGCCACGGGGATGACCCACCCCCATGCACGTGGCCATAGGGGTGACCCTTCAAACATCTGCCCTCTGCCACATCCGTGGGGCTGCGCCCTGTCTCCATAGCCATGGAGTCACCCCCTTTCTACCCGACAGCTGCACTGCCACAGGGGTTGCCCCACAGCTGTGCAAGGGGCTGCCCCCCTCTATAGCCTACCCATGCCACATCCGCGGGGCTGCCCCCCACCCACGGGGCCCCCCGCACCCCCGCGGCGGGTACCTGCGAGGAGGCGGATGTCGGCGCGCGCCGTGTCGCGGCGCAGCGCGCGCACCACGAGCGCCACGGTGCTGTCGTCGCGCAGCGCCTCGGCGCGCGGGCTGCGCTCGTCGTACACCACGACGGCGGCGTAGAGGCCGGCGCGGAGGCGCGCGCGCACCTCGCCCTCGGCCGGCAGGATCTGCTCCAGGCTCACGGCGCCCTTGGCGCGGCGCCGCACGATCGTGTTGCAGCGCACGTTGAGCGCGCCGCGGATGTGCCCGGCGCTGTGCGCCAGGAAAGGCCGGCAGTCCAGCAGCAGGCAGCGCCCGGGGCCGCCGGTACCGGCGCCAACGCCGGTCCCGTCGTCGCGGCCCACGAGGCGCCGCAGGGCGCTGCCCTCCATCTCGCGCAGCCCCTCGGCGGCCACCATGGCGCAGCCCGCGGCGGCGGCGGCGGCGGCGGCGGTGGAGCCTTTACTACCCGCGCGCCGCGCCGCGCGCGCCGCCGCCCCCGCCCCGCGCCGCCCATTCACGAGCCGCCCCGCGCCGCCCATTCATGAGCGGCGCGCGAGGCTGAATGGGCCGCCGACGTCACCGCCTCCATTCACAAAAGCGCTCCCCCCGCGCGCGCGCGCGCGCGCGCGCGCCGCCATGTTTGGCTCCCCCCCGCCCCGCGCGCGCTTCCGCCGCGCGCTTTTTGTGAATGGGGGGAAGCGGCGCCTTTGTGAGCGGCGCGCGCGCGGCCGCGGCGGGGGCGGCGCCTGGGCGCCCTGCGTGACACGGGGGTCCCGCACCCCCATACCCACGCACACATGAACGGGGCTCGGTGCGTGTGCATGCGGCGTATGGCTCTATATGCGTCGCTATGCAAGCACACAGCCATAAGCGTATGCACCCGCACTCCTCTCCCCCCGCACCGTGCCTCTCAGCTTCCACGCCAGGCACCGGGATCTGCCGAAAACCCCCCCGGTTTTGCTGCTTCCTCCCATCTCTTCCACCACCCCCAACAAGCCCGCTCGGCAGCTTGAAAGAGCCCTGAACCTCCCCCCAAGCAGCTGCCGGGGAGCAGCCCCACAGAAGCACTCTCGGGTTCACTCCTCCTGCGGAAAGGTGCTATTTTAGGCAATAAAAGGTAAAGAAGCGAGCTTGCAGCCCTGGAGGGCCACTCCCCCTGACTCCATAGGGTCTCCCCGCAGTCGCCATCTGCTCGGGAAGGGGCCTTTCGTCAGGGATCTGAAGGTCGCCCTCCAGCGCCGCTGGCAAACCGAAACGGCGCCCTCCACAAAGCCGGTGCCGGCAATAGCAGCCGGGGAGCGCGAGCGCGGCCAGGCCCAGCTGGGCCTGCCCGGGCCCCACAGCGGGTACGGTCTGTGGGGCAGGAGAAGCGGCCGGGTTTTGTCCCAGCCGCTGCTCTCCGCAGAGGGCAGCACCTGGGGAGGGGCTGGCGCCTCCAGCGGTTCCTGCTCTGTCTTAGGCTCCAGTCTCCACCTGCATCGCACAAAGACAAAGCAAAGACAAAACCTGTGTCTGTTGAACCAAAACGGCTGTGACCAGCRGAGACGCCTGCCTCCATAGGGACACGTTTTGTTTGTCTCAAGGTTCCCGAGYTTGCACTCTCAAAGAGACCAAAAGGAAAAAGAAAGAAAGAAACAAAGGGTCAGATTTTAAACCAATTCTGAATTACATTTGCACAGAAGCAGAGCTTGAACTTGAGCTGGCCCAGGGAAAGGTGGGAAGCTTTTCTCGGCACCAGGATGAGCTCGCCTGCTGTCACCCAGGCCTTTTGCTGGGGTCAGCCCAAGCTTTGGGCTAAAGCTGCGTGACCCGGCGCTCCTGCCAGCGCAGGCAGCGCCTGCTGCCCCGTTCAGCCCCAGCTCGGGGTGAACCAGCCCCACTGGGTTTGTGCTCGCACGTTTATGTGGGCATCCGTGGGGCAGCATCGTGATTGCAGGCGCACGGGGGTGCAGCTGTGGCCGGCGCTTCTCCGTGTGCGAGTCCTCCTCTCCCGCTCCGCTCCATGCCCTGTCCCTGGAAAATAAATGGGTAAAAGAGAGAGAGAGAGAGAGAGAGAGCGCGAGCACGCACGCCTGGGACATTCATTTCCTTCCCTGCCGATTCCAAGCATCATCTTTTACAGGGACTCGCCAGGAGAGGCACTTGAAGAAGGAGGCTGGAGGGAAATGAGTTGTCAAAGGAGCTGCATAGTCAGGTGATTAAATGCCAATATGTACCGTGGATTAAGGGAGAGGGATTTACACCTCCTCTCGCCGTGGCAGCGGAAACCAAATTAGAGCCGGGCTGTAAATTTGCCTGCTGATAGATACCCATTTGTTTGAGTATCCAAACGCTCCTCCTGCCCCCTGCATTGCAAAACCAGGCGAGGAGAAGCCCAGGGACCCTTAATGCTGAATTTAGCAACAATTGCCAGGGTTGAGCTAAGCACCCGGCCCCCGAGACAGGATGAGCTTGCAGAGATGTTTTCTGCCAGGAAGAAAAAGCTGGGGCAGCGACGTCTCTCCCTTAGGCTTAAGATCATAAATGAGGCAGCGTTATGTAAGTGTGACTACAGCCTATTTATACACCGCGTTAGACTCATGCGATCAGACTATGAATGACAAATCTCCCGCTGATTTCTATGAATACGGCAGCTTCAAAGCAGAGAAACCCGTGCTTCTGAGCAGGAAAGGACGGGCCGGAGCCGGGTCAGCGCGCGGACACCGTGTGGCCAGAGCTTGGTCCCTGTTCCTCCGGCCCTCCCTGGCATCGGTGCCCGTCAGCGTCACATCCCTGAGCGCTCCGAGCCGAGCTGAGGTCTTGCAGGAAAAGGGACCCGGCGCAGGAAGGGCCGATCCTGCTGCCCTCGGCAGAGACCACGGAAAGAAAGTGAAATTGTCCCCCGAACCGACTGGCGCTTGGTGCCTCTCCCCAGGCAGTCCAGCCGCACACTATTACTATTAATAATAGTAATAATAATAGAACCCTTTGTGTCCTTTTCTCCCTTGGTGAGGGAGAGGAGGACGGGGCGGTCCCGCGGGCTCTCCCAAGGGCAAAGCRAAGCCCACGGAGGGCAGGGAAGGGGAAGTGAGAAAGGGAAAGAGGAACCACCAGCCTGTGGGTGGCCGTAGGGGATCTGGGGTTCTCCAGCCCGTGTCAGCGGCGTTATCCAGCTCCAGCCTCTGTGCTAGGGAGATCTTCAGGCCTCCCAAGGGAGATCCCAGCACTTGCTGGCATTTCCCACCCGGGGATGATGCTGTTTCTTGGAGAAACCACCCCATCCTGCACCTTCCATCGGGAACGGAGCATGGGAAAATTACCTATTCCTTACGCTACCCTTTCTTTTGTTGTTGCTGATGCTTTGCTGGAGAGAAAATCCCCGTGCCGGAGCCCTAGCCCCTGGGAGGGACCTGGCAATGCTGATCCGTGGGGTCTTAAGGGCTGAGCGTCCCGTGTTTTGTGGATGCGAGAGGTGCTAGGAGCAGGGGCCAGAGGAAGGAAGGGCTCGGGAACACCCTGCTCTTCCTCGGGCCAGCTGTTTTTCCTTCCCTCTTTGTYCCCCCGCTGCCGGGAGTTGCCCAATCAGCCCCGGGATGAGTCACTGCCCGGGGCGCTTCTCCCTGACCCACTTGTGCCTGGTGCGGAGCGGGCGCTTCGCGTCCGCGCTGCGGAGACGCGCGGCGAGGGCGCCGCAGGGCTGTGCCTGCCGGGAGCAGCCGGGAGCAAGGGGGGCTTCTGTCCCTGGAAAAGCCCCCAAATGGTGATGCTCGGCAGAGGTGTCGGGACAGGATGGTCCCGAGGTCCTGCAACACGGGCACAGGAACGGTCCGGGCACGGGGCTGTCACCATCTCATGTTGTTGGTTTGGGTTTTGGTGGKTTTTTTTTGGTTTTTATTTTTTCCCTTTTTTTCCACCACCTGAGGGGAGTTCCCAAGGGAGAAGTGTCCTTCCCTAGCACGTTTCCCACATGCGAGGCCCTGTGCCTCCCAGGTCTCCAAGGAAGCTCTGCCTTGCGCCCCGCTTGCCCCACGTTTGCACCTCCCATTTGCTGCTGGGCAAAATCCAGGGTTTTCCCTTGGTCCCCAGCCAAAACGATCTGCCCCATTCAGTGTCCCAATCCCAGAGCAGGATTTCAGTGGTGCCCGAGAGGAGCCCGTCCGGGGCTCTCG